GGTCTCTGCACTAGATACATATGGGTGAATGGATTCTGATACTGAAGTCATAATTGCGTGTTGTATTGATTGATCTTGCCTCACCCACAAATCATATGGTGAGTCGGGTATGTCATCTTCTGGAGGACATGGCCTGGTACCTTGCAAAAAATCAGTCAGTCGATAAACTCAGAGCAATGAGGTAAACTATCGGCTCCACATGGTATAATTATCGGAGGTGAGTTTGACTAGGAATTGAGCAGCAACAAAGGCTATGATATTGTTTGAACTGGTACTAGTATTGATAATAGCGGGTGTGGTAATCACGGTTTTGCCTGAGCTTGAATTTTGGGTTTTGGAATCGGTGATTTTGGGTGTTTCGTCGGCCATGGTTGTTTGATGTTAGTCCCGCTTGAGACCGTGGCTCTGATACCACTATAAAGACAGAAACTTGAGAATGAAACTGATATATTTTATTCATAGAATTGAGTATCCTATATACACAAGGTCTGCAATTATTTATGGAAATTAAAGATATACAATAATAGAAAATAAATACAAATAAGTGTGATTGATATCCTGCATATAATGCTGATTATATTTGCTGTAATTAGTGCAGATTCACGAGGCAGATTCACGAGCTGTGTTGACAGGATTTGTTTCCATAACATTGGCTACATTTAGAGATTCAAATTCATCAACTAGCTGTCTAATCTGGGCGTCAAGTCTCTCCAAATTGGACTTCATTAGTTGCTCTTTTGCCTGAATTTCATGTTCCAGTTTCCCTTTTTTAGCCTCAAGTGCCTTCAGATTGGACTTCATTCGCTGCTTATTTTCTTCTATTTTACGCTTCAATCTCTTATTTTGCGCCTTAAATGCCTTCAGATTGGACTTCTGTTCCTTTTCTCCAATTTCAAGCTTCAATTGGCCATTTTTTGCCTCAAATGCCTCCATATTGGACTTCATAAGCCTTTCCTTTTCTTTAATTTCATGCTCCACTCGCGCATTTTTATACACAAACTCCCATATTTTGATTCCCTTTGCTTCAATTTGATTCTTAACTATCCTATAATCAACCAAAAACGCCTTTAGATTAAGCTTCATTCGTCGTTCTTTTTCTTTAATTTCACGCTTCAAACTCTTATTTTCAGCTTCAAATGCCTCTATGTTGGACTTCATCTGCTGGTCCTCGTGACATGGCTCTTGTTTTTTTTGAATTTCAGGCTTTAATGGATCATTTTCAGCCACGAGTGATGCAGCAAGCATACGGAATGCTTTAATAAAAGCCGAAAGGATAGTCTGCTTTGTGCTACTTTTCTGACCGCGTACAAGTGCACCTTTTCTTCCCTGAACATACCATATACATGTAAAAAAATAATAATACTAAATAAAAATTTCAAGACCAAACTCATAAAGTGCAAATGAAATGATAGAAGAGACACAGATCTTTTACCTTTCCTTCAACTATACTAGCATTATATGAACAAAACTCGACGTGGAAAGTTTGATCTTCTGGTTCATAGAAGGATGAGAAAAATTCATCTAAGTCAGCATCTTGATCAGATGGTCCCTGTGTGAATGGCTGCGATTCGACTGCAGTGTTTCCGCCTTGCCCCTGAGGTAAACCGAACTCTGGTGACACATTGATTGTTTGTGCAGTTTGGCCTAATTGTTCCTGCAGCAAGAAATCTGGCAATCCATGAAAATTTTCAGTGAACGTTGCCGGCGAGGACTGAGATGTTTGCTGCATTCTACTTGTGCCAGCGGGCTGAGTCAGAGGCAGTGTTGTCGCAGCAGGCTGAGAGCATTGATTTATCAATATATTGCGCTGTGGCCGCCATGGCTGTGCATGTTGAGTAACAGTTTGTTGAAGCTCAGCCACCGTTCGATTCAAAGAGACAAATCCATCCACTACCAGTTTAATTTGGGTCAGAAGTGGCTGCATATCAGTAGTAGATATTTGTTGTTGATTTACAACCCCAATCACATCCAGCAACGACTTGGTTAGCTGTTTCTTTTCTTCTAATTCACACTTCAATCTCGCATTTTCAGCCTCAACTACCTCAAGCTTGGACTTCATCAGCTGCTCCTGTTTATCTTTTTCCTGAATTTCTTGCTTTAATCGATCATTTTCACCCTCCAGTGCCTGCCTTTTATCCTGAAATAGTGAAATACCATAAATATATATTATCTTTCATTTAAAAAAATTAAAGATCTAAGGCTTCCTTTGAGCCCTAGGTCGTTATGGTGCCTCAAATCAATGTGGGATATTCAATTGAGCTACAAGTTATTTTTTTTCCGTCGCTCATATGAAACTTTACCCCTAACAATTTATTCCCATTATTATTTTCGGGAAAATTTTTAAATAGTGGTCTAATCCCACTTCTCCGTATGATTCCGTGATGACTCAGTTTTATATCTTAAATAAGTAAAAAGTGTGCTTACTGAATTTATTATTATTAGTATATTATGGTGTTTTTGAGAAGTCTGTAATACCCCTCTACCCTTTTCAACATCATAGGCTTCAGTCAAATGAATGCAACGTCTTCCAGATTTGAGCTAACAATTCAATGATTAATAAATGAAGCACTGTAGTTTTTTTTTTTTTTCATGGAATGACACATATCATTAAATTAAACAATTTAAAATTAATGATATTATGATCATTCAACAGAATCAGTCTTTCAATCTGGCTAAGAAAGGATCAAATTTAGAACAGTTGATAAACGAGGAGATGCAAAGTCAACAAAACAATAATAAAAAAAAAAGATAATGTGATTTTAAGATTTAAAAATTAATTTAGAACCTTCATGTCAAAACAAAAATAGTTTAGAAACTGTCATAAATCCAATCAAAACAAAATTTATCCCAAAAAATTTCAGCCAAAAAACTAATTGCACTAAATCTAAACAAACTAAAAGAGCAGCAAAAGCAATTCGCTTTTGGATCCCGATTATGGGTTTGGATGCCTTCGGCGCTAGCATGGTGGGGAACTGGTGATTCTCAAAATCAAATGAAAAAGTGGACTTGGTAATGCGAGAGAGAAACGGATGAGCAAGAAATTTTGAAAAGTTTAAAATGGCAAAAAGGTCATTCGACAAAATGACCATCGAAAACAAATAATTTTTTTATACACTAAAGAGAGATTTGGGTTATAAATTTCCACTTGTTTAAAATAGATTTTGGATTCTCCACTGAATTAAGAAGGAAATCTTGACAGATACCCTAAAGATGAATTTTTCCTTTTGCGGATGGAATGAAATTGTAGATGCTTTGTTACTAATTGTACAGCACTAGATTTGCCTGGAGTGGAATCCTAGGCATCCCACATGAGTTTTGGATTGATACAACACGCCTGTCCACTATCTCAAAAAAAAAAAAAAAAACCTTTATACCGTACCTTTATTCCCTAACCCAAAATTTTTTATTGGGTTGTAAGACCATTTTCTTCTTCTTCTTTTTTATGTCATTTGATATTTCAAATTATAATTGGTTACTTAAATGTTAATACATAGATCTTTTTTTTTCTTTTCTTGGTTTCTAGTTGTTTTTTATTTTAATTAGGTCTTTTTTTCACAAAGATAACTACACCACGACGACGACCACCACCACCACCAAAAGAACCTGTATATTTTTTTACTATTTTACACCAAGTATACCCAAATTTATAATCACTTTCTCTAGAGACAGAGATGTTTACCCTTTGTTTGTCTCTGTATCTTTTATCGTTCTTTCTCTTTTTGTCACGCCGTGCTTCATCACTATCTTCTCCAATGTCTCTTTGTGAATCAGGATCCCCAGTGGCAGTTGCCAACAACTGCGTTGCTGCAGCAGTCTGATTGCCTTGACTTTGATTTATCCCCGACTCGTCCATTAAAGCTGCAGGTTGACCTAACTGTTTCTGCGGATCATGCTAGTTGCTTTGATCCATGGAAATATTCTGAAGCAGCTCGTTGAAACTCTTATCATCAGGATTCACTGCTTCAAATTAAGATGTTTCTATATCAAAATTAATAGGAGAAAAAGTGAAATTTATGGAGGGATCAAACATTTATTACAAGTATGTTATTACGAGGAAAAGCAAAGAAAAAAAAATTTTTTTTTTCATGAAATTGAAATTTTACACTTACAGAATTGTCCTCTCCATTGTCGGCTTGCCCATTCTTCACTGGCTGGACCCCCAATTCCAGACTTCGCCTTTGATTTTATTTTAGCTGGGGGAGCGTGAGAATGGTAAATATATATATTCAGAGGACCGTTCGATTATCTGTCGGGTTGCCCATTCTTTTCGTTCGACTCTTATTGTCTGACAAGTCAACAGCCGTGTGGTGCAAGCCGTAACAAAACGTGGTGCCCTGTTTAATACTGTACTTTATAATGGGAAAATGATTCAGATTTTTTTATATAATTTTTTTGTCACCTTCCGCGTTTTCCAAACATTAGTTATTTTCACACAATAATAAAATATATAATATTATATATTTTTATTTATTTAATTTTTGTCTTCATGTCGTTATCTATAGCAGTACTATTCATTAATATCATATATCAATTCCTTCTTCATTCAAGTAAAAGAAATTTAATTTTTTTTAAATAAAATCTCAAATTTAAATTTTATAAATAAAAAAATAAGTATTAAAAGATCTTCTTTTTAGAGATCTAATATTGTTCGATTTCAAATTAATTAAAACTTAACGTGATTATTATATATTATGAAGTTAATACAAAAAATATATATATTATATGAGAAAGAAAAAAAATCAAGAAATCTTAAATATGATAAATTTAATAAATTAAAATTTATACTATATCTCACATATTTAATAATTATAATTAGACATCTTAACATTTTTTATATCAAGATGTCTTAATTCTTTATTTTCTTATATTGTATTTACATAATACATTATTGAATTCATAGCCTATTTTCAAAAAAAAAAAACATTATTGAATTATAATAATAATAGATAATGTAATTATTACATGATTTAAGGTGTGTTTGAGAGTGTGATTTCGAGTTTTTTCTTATAATGGTATAGTCTTTTAGATAAATATATGTTTAGTAATTTTTTTTAAGTTACTTTTTTTAAAAATTGCAAAAAGCTATGATGAATCTATAACAGTTTTATATATAGAATCAAAATTTTCATTTTGGAGCTTTTGGGTTATAACTTTT